ATATATATATATATATATTGAGGTTGATAACAAATAAGCCATAGCCAGCACCGACAATGCAGGAACCACCAACTTTCCAATATAGAAATGATGTACTCCTTGTCTCTAGGGAATCTGCTAATCACATCTATAAATTTAGAGTATATGCACTTACAAGTATTTATAACAAATTAAACAAATACACATGTGAGTCACTCCAAAAGCTGCAACACAAGAAAATCACAAACTGTAAAGAGTCATAATTGCAGTAATATACCTATATAATATCAGCCAATGTTCAGAAAGGAATCATGGCTACAAAAGCACTGAAACTGCAAGAGAAATTTTTATTATGTATTATACTACATATGGCAAGTTTGTAATATTCTGTGCTTAAATTAACCTCCCACAAAAATTCTGGAAGAGAACTATATAAAAATGCAATATACCTATGTCAATATAAAAGCCATAAACCCGCCTGATCTTTTGTCTCCCTCCAGATCCTCACCCTGACAACTGACAATGCCAATGTCCTGCTGCAGATTGACAATGCCAGACTGGCAGCTGACGACTTCAGGCTGAAGTAAGCTAAGTGAATGTAGTACAAATAAAGCAGGTGGTTTTCGCAATGACCTTGGATGCCCATAACAGCATTTAAAATTTCCTAAACTCATCCAGAGTGAAACAGTTCTGAGCTGTTAAAGAAAGTTTGAATTTAACAATATCTTCTGGGTAATCTTTAAAGGAAGATGTGTTTTAAAGTAACAGTTAACTCTTTGTATCAAACTATTGGTATTCCTATATGAATTTGTGTATTACAAATGTTGGATCAAATCTGTATTTGCACTTTAGTCAGTCTTTGTCCAGGCGTGCCTTCATTGGCCTGTATCTCCAATGTCTGTATCCCGCTTGTTTCAGATACGAGAATGAGGTAGCCCTGCGCCAGAGTGTGGAAGCCGACATCAATGGCCTACGCAGGGTGCTGGACGAGCTGACCCTTAGCAAGGCTGACCTAGAGATGCAGATTGAGAGTGTGACTGAAGAGCTGGCCTACCTGAAGAAGAACCATGAAGAGGTGACACAAAATTACATTTTCCCCCTCAAAAAAAAAGTTCATCTTGGTTATGGTGCATTCCTTAAATCTAACTATTCCTCAAATAGGAAATGAGAGACCTTCAGAATGTGTCCACTGGTGATGTGAACGTGGAAATGAATGCTGCTCCAGGAGTTGACCTGACTCAAATGCTGGACAACATGAGAAACCAGTATGAACAGCTTGCAGAAAAGAACCGCAAGGATGTAGAAGCCTGGTTCAATGAGAAGGTAAGTTAATTCCCCTTCTCAACGAAGCTCATGGAGGTTTTGTTATCATGCCCGGTGTTTTCATCTTTTCTGGTTTCTAATCCTCTAGAGCAAGGAACTCACCACAGAAATCGACAGCAACATTGAACAAATGTCCAGCCATAAGAGTGAAATTACTGAATTGAGACGCACTGTTCAGGGCCTGGAGATCGAGCTACAGTCCCAACTGGCTCTGGTATGTTTAATCTTGTAAAACGGCTTCCATTTTATCCTGCAATGTTTCAAACTAAAAATGAGTTGGGGGCAAGAAAGTGGAACCGAAATTGCAACTTTGGTGGGGGCAGGGGAGGGGGGTGTGAGAACTGTTAGCTCTGAGGCGGTCCTGCTCCAACTGCGGTGCTGCCAATAGGCACAAATCCTATCCGTTTTCCTTCTATGGCGCCTTACTGAAGAATTTCCACCTTTCATTCACTACACTCAATAAAACCTTCTTCCCAGAAACAATCGCTGGAAGCCTCCCTGGCAGAAACGGAAGGTCGCTACTGCGTGCAGCTCTCCCAGATCCAAAGCCAGATCTCCGCCCTGGAGGAACAGCTGCAACAGATTCGGGCCGAGACCGAGTGCCAGAACGCCGAGTACCAGCAACTCCTGGACATTAAGACCAGACTGGAGAACGAGATCCAAACCTACCGCAGCCTGCTAGAAGGAGAAGGAGGGTAAGACGGAAACCTGCACAGTTCCCCAACTGCTGTCCTCCGGGATCCCGGGGCAAAGGGGGCGGGAAGGGCTGTGTGTGTGACACTTATGGGTGGATAAACGGATGGGTGATGACAGACGAACTTGACTGCATTGCATTTCCTCAAAATTTCCACCTGGAGCGCAACCTGACGCTTCCACGTCAGAAGCGACCACAATTGACCCCCACACTCCGTTTAGTTCCGGAGGCGGATCCTACGGCGGCGGACGCGGCGGCGGCGGCGGCGGCA